GAGCTCATTTGATGCCATAAGCTGATTGATCCCGCGGGAAGCGACCTGAACCAACATTTGGCATGGGCAGTTAGGGTTACTACTAAGCAACGATATTTGGCCAAGTCGGAGACTTGATGGAGTTCCATGAGGTCATTGAACTTGTACAGGTGATCCTGTGGGTCTGAATTCTCATCGAATGCCCGCATGTCGGGCATTCTGATTCTCAATAGGAGAGGGACAACTAAAACTACTAGAGAAAAGGGAGACGCCTCTATGACCTTCCCACGCTCATTCTGTTGAGCCTTAAGCTGATCCAATGCTCGCTGTAGTTCCTCAATCTGAGGCAACTCTAAGGATCACTTTTCGCAATGTGGATTCGACCCTCATGGTTGCAGTTGAGGAAAGACCGCAAACTGGGCTCTTCCTCAACTCAGCCGGTAGCTCCGACAAACCTTGACACACGCTAGCTAGAGCTATGTGAAGGCATTGAATGATTTGGGAAATTTTCCCAATCTCCACAGTGGTCCAAACCAACCCGCAAACGATGGGGATTTCCCACATGACGACGATTGAGGTCATCATTTCGGCAATATTGGGAATCTCCCTGCCTTGCACTTTTATGGGAGTGCCCATGCGACGTGACATGGGACGGCTCATTTTGTGACATGTCATCGAGTCGTAGTGCCACAGGTATTCTACCCGTTGCACGATCGATATTCGCTGGTCCCTCGAAGCTCTTTGGTCCACTGTTTGTCACTTATTTTCCCCTTCTTTAGCGCACTATAGTGTACGTAGTACGGGCTACAGTAGTTTTTGGCCGTGGCACCACTTCATTGGATTCTGGTGGCACAACCTGATCCAAACGGTCTAGCCTTTGGCTAACTGTTTAGAGAGTATTATTGAACCTCTCCAGGTAACTCATTATGGCTGGATCGAGTCGTGAGCCTAAAGGAATATCTGTCATAATACTTTGTTGGACTGGCACACTTCGGGAGAAGTGTCCTCCTGTACCTAGGGGATTTCCTCATTGTCAAAGTCGGATCGCTCAGGTTCGAAACCGCGAGCCATTTGCTGATTGGTAGGACCGATTAGTCAAAGGTTTCTAATGAAGAGCATATACTAAATCGGGCCCTCCTTTTAGCGCCAAACTGTTGATGCTTGATTTTGACACCAAAGACTCACACGTGCAAAGTGCTAAGCAAACTTAGAAACTACACGTGATATGAAAACATGAAATGAGAGAATAAATGAGAAGCAATTTTTAAAATGGTTCGGATGCTCAAAAGCGAATCCTATGTCCACTGTTGTTGTATTAATAGATGGGTATAGTCAGGTCGCGTATGGTGAGCTGAGTTACAATCTAGAGGGAAAACAGAGAGAGAGAGAGAGTGTGTGTGTGTGTGTGTGTTTGTATGCTGTTTTTAGACTAAGATAAGCCAATCCCGTAAATGAAAGAGGAGTCCTTTATTTATAGTGGGAGGATTCAAGGTAATGATTACAAGTCTGCAAGTGGGTAGGTGTCGTGCAAGTCCTTCCTTGCATCCCATTGGTTATCTGCACGAGAAATATCCTCAAATTGTGTAGGGCTTGGGCAGGTGGACGATCCCTAACCATTCGCAAGCCTGGCATTCACCTGCTGCACTAACAAGAACCATACCTCTTCCGTCATTGCGCAACGTGACAATGTCTGGACAGCACAAAACCTTCATGAATCCTGATTGGTTCTTGCTGACGAGGTTCCACGTCAGCCCTAACTTTTTAGGCATAACAACCACCAACATACAAAGAAAGGAAATTGCATAAAGCAATAAGCTATACTAACAAAGATGATGCTTGAAATGCGTTTGTGGTTAAAAATTAAATACCATTAAGCACTTCAAGGTCAAGCGTATCAACATCAAAACCAGCGTTATAGTAATGATCAAACATGTGACTAGGCGCATTAACGTGAGTGCCAGTTTGCACAAACATTTCGATTCAGAAGCATTCGCAAGCGAGCCATTCTTGATGGTTGAAAGTGGCCATAGGAACTGGCCAAGACCCTCGGGAACATTTTGCCATCGGCATACACTTTTCTCCCCTCGGGAACCCGGACTGGATCACCTTCAGCAATTAGTATGCACACCCAGATGCTTAGTGGTAGGATTTTGTAATTTTTGTTCAATGCTGGTTTGAGTTAATTAAGAGTTGTTGCAGAGTAATGGAGCTTCATTTCATAGAGTGACTAGTGCCTTTTTCTTTAACTTACGTATTAACGATCAATCATAACGTTCAATCCGGATTCCCAATATTGCGTATTGGAAATCAGATAAGCATTTGTATTTTACTGATCCATCCCTATCAGCTCTATAAAGAACCAATCGCCGAAACTAGCGTTTATATCTTGAAGTATGTTTCGTCAAAGTAATCAGTGGCGGAGACTAGCCTTTGTTGAAGTGTGTTTCATTCTATTGATTAAATTTGGATAGAGGGCAAAAACAAGCATGCGTTTGGATTCACATGGAAAACTCTATCAGTAACATTGAGCTATTTACGAGTTTAATAATCAGAATTTTAAGTCCTTTAGTTGATGGTTACTCAACGAACAACAAAAAGAATTCAAAAACAGATGACCCCATATGAATTGAAATAAAAGAAAAAAACATTATTAAGAATAACAGCGGCTAGATGAAAAAGATGATACTAATAAAACAAAAAATTCTTTCACTAGGATGATCTCCTGAAGCATTTGCATTGACTTAGTGGTTAAGTATAGACAAAAAACTTCTCAGCTCAAAACCAAAATTAGTGAACCAAATTCTTTCAATGAATAACATGGAAAGCCCAACCAATCAAAGAAATTTGATTACCTTGCTGGCTAGGAATTCATGATGAGCTGAAGCTGCATCAACATAGGCTGCAACTGATAAGTAATCAAGTCCTACATTTCATGACAGACAAAATGCAAAAGTGCAACCGTTTAGTTTTCTGAAAAAACAATTCAAAGGAAAGAGAAAAGTGAAATAGAAAAGCAGTCCCAAATTCTCTCAAATGCATTCAATTGAAAAACTTCTAATATGCCGACGAGTATCCAACATAGACTCGATGCAACAACAAAAAGGAAAAACGCAAGTAATGTCTTTTACATGTTGCCCTGGATCAACTAAAGAGAAAATGTTTGACTTACCAACAAGTTTAATGTCTGTTTTCTACCAACCATTTTGCCCCATCCTTCATGAACCCCACATAGCTTGAGTCAAACTCCTTTTTCCACATAAGTTGCCTGAAAATTAGGCAAATTGATAAACCCAAACTCCTTTTGTTGAAATTAAAAATGTTCAAATTGATGAGGCAGAGGGGCTTTAGATTCCATCTCAGCTAGTGAAGGACATTGTCTTCCAGGTATCATATTGACCTACGCATAATCCAACTGTCTCAATACAGACAATGTAATTGACACATCAATATTGTCAATGTTGAAGACCATAGCAAATGTTGCTGCAAAATTTCAAACATAACAAACTGGAAGCGTACAAATTTATGACACAGAATTATTTCTTACATAAACTATACTTTTATATCATCCAACACATAGATGGTGAATCAACAAAAATATCACTTCTGTATTAGTTACTATCTGTATTAATGTTCTGAAAAGCAAGCGAATTTGGGAATGTTTAAGGACATCATAACTTCAGCTTGAGAGGAAAACATGTTATCACAAAATCTAACCAGAACTAGAAGATACAAGACAATATTTTATAACTGGTTTAGAAAGGAGATTTTGTTGAGGTGTACCTAGAAGCTGTAAATTTAAGCCTAGCCCTCTCCACAATAGCTTTATGTCGTTGAAATGCCACACAATAATAATCAACAAGTACAATGTTGAAGTTTAAACGCAAAGATCCATTCGAAATAAATACCAGTTATGTTCCTCCCTTGGAACATCAACTAACAAAACAGGACCTGTTGAAATAAAAATATATAATAAATCATCAATAACACATAAACAAGGATAAGCATAAAGAGCAAAAGATAACATCAAAATAAAAAAATCCAGGGATGAAATAATCAACGAAGAATATAATGCATAAAAGAACAAAACGAAAGGTGTTTGAGGTTATGATTTGTACCATTAAGCATTTCAAGGTCAAGAGTATCAACATCAAACCCAGCATCAGAGAGTTAACAAACATGTGGCTGGGCGATCAACATGCGTGCCAGTATGCACAGACATTTTCATTTCAAAGCATTGGCATTGAGGATTCTTGATGCTCGCAAGGGGCCATAAAAAATGGCCAATCCGTCCTTAGAGTCCCATGAAGGCAAGTCCTTGGTGACCCTATGGCTAGGCTAATATCAAACAGTCTCGCCATTAGCATATACTTCTCTCCGCCAGGAGCTGGAACTGGGTCGCCTTCAGCAGCCAGAGGCCGGCTAGTACAATGCAGATCATCTCGATGCATGATAGACAGCGCGCAGTAGCTGGATTTTCATGGTTACTTAAGAGTTGAGGTGAATTGTTGTCAGCATTTTTTTTTTTATTTTTTTTTATTTTTTTGAGTTATGATGATTTTGATAATAGTAAATTGGTTTTATAGAGTAGGGACAAGAGATTAATAATGAAGTATTGATCAACATTAAAAAGAACAGCAATCGCCAGTAGCAGCTCTATTTAATCGCCAGTTGTGAAAAACTGAAGATCAGTTTATTGCTAACACTAACTGTTAGGTGTCCGAAAATATTAATGGTACCCTTATTAACCAACTTAAAAATATCGGTATCATTTTAGGAGTCAATTTTTTCGCTTTGCCATACATGCGATGTTCAATTTAAAACTTGATCTTCGGTTCTGTTCCGTTTCCCCACGTTTTCTCCCTTGATGACTTTGAAAAATTTAGGATTATATGCAGCATGTCTTCCGTAGAGAAACTCGTTAATTGGGTCTTAAAATGAGAGAGAAGCTTGGGGAGAGAGACAGTAACCTTTACAGTAAAAGCAAATTATAAATATACCTTTTATTTATATATATAAGAGGGGCAGTTAGACACTAAAACTACAATTATTTAAGCCTAAAGTATACAGCACAACCATGGATTCGTAATTTACTCATCACAACAACGAAAACCCATTTCAAACAACTGAAATGTTGATTGTATCACACACTATACTGAACACAGAAACATGATCTTCTATAATGTCTTATCCCATGCTCCTCATTCTGATTTCTGCAACAAAATATTGATTGAAAGAAATACGTTATGAATAATAATTAACTTCCATTTCAAACACACTATAAATATATCAAATTATTTCTGAAAAACTCACAAGGGAAACTCTCATTTAATGAGAATGCATCTGATTGGTGATCCCTCAGCACCAAACAACCTTAGATGTAAGCAATGGACAGAATATAGTCCTGCTGGCACATCATCGAGTTTAAGCGCCTCCACCAGAATGATTTCCTGAAGAAGATGACTAATTTTAGTATCCGCAAATTTACGAGTCTTAAGTCTTAACCTTTGATCTATGTATGTGCTCTTCAGATTAAGGTCATTACTCAACAGTCAATTACCCTCAATCAAACCAAAAATGGACAAGAGAAAATACCCAATTCTCAAAAAACAGTATAAACAGGTTAAGAGCTGATTATATACTTCAAGCCCATGAAGTGGCGAAGCCATGGCCACCCCAGGCTCCAGAAATTTTTTAAAATTTAGCATTGAAAAAAACCATTTTACCCACCCCAACTTTCGAAAGGAACACTTTAGCCCCTTTAAGTGTAACTTCCTGCCAATGGGGACATTTGACATCAGTAAAAGAAGCCTAAAGCATCGGAAATGATTTTCTTACCCTGCTTTCCAGAAATTCATAATGAGCCGTAAGTAGATGATCAAAGGAAGCAACGGACAAGTAATCAATCCCTACAATATTTCACAATTGTAAAATGTGTTACTACTTTTGAACTCTTTCCCGACAACAATTCAATCATAAACTTTTCAAACACACATCTGCAAAATGTATTTAGACACATGGTTAACTGAAACTTGTTAACAGTTGAGAGGGTCCAGCGATATCTTACCAACAAGTTTGATGTCAGTGTTCTTTGCCAGCCATCTTGCCCCATCTTTTGTAAATCCCACATAGCTTGTGTCGAATGCTTTATTAAACATAAGCTGCCTGAAATTCAACTACATTTTGCTCAAATATATTTCAGTTATAACTAATGCTGTGATTCAGTGCTCTTTTATGCTTAAACTCGAGGAAAAGTAAGAACAATCCCAGAAACACATTTAATTGACAAATAAAAAAGAGCAGGGAATATAAACTCTTTTTCAAGCAAACTCATGGAGACATGTGATATCATATTCCAAATGTATTAACTGAAAGATGCTAATTAAAATGTTCCCCTAGAATTGCAATGTATTTATTGAAAAAAGTACCTGTCTGTGTTTAGCGTTCTGAAAAGGACGCGAGTTACTCCTTTGGGAATATTCAAGGATTCCATAACTTCAGCTGTAAGATCAAAAATGGATATAAATAACTGAAGAAAAGCAGAAGCTACAACATATTTTAGTTATTCAGCAGAGTACAAGGGAAACCACTGTAAATGCAAGTGAATATTCTGCACTTAAAAAATACTGTATACAAACTGATCTTACCCACAATGAGTAGAATGATGAAAATGAAAAGTCAATGCAATTAATAGTAACCCATGTAATGAAAATAACATTGATATGTATGCGCAAAATGAACACAGGTATGGAAATGTTGTCATCTAATGACTTCAATCAAGCTTTGAAGCAAACTTTAGACCAATTAAACCTACACTTTCCCCTCAAATATTACCACATATATAGGGAGGGCTCTGCAATTTAGTTTTTTTTTTTTTTTAGAAAAAAAAAAAAAGAGATTGAACCCGACTTGAATCGACCACGCAACCTTCTAATCTGGAGTCAGACGCGCTACCATTGCGCCACGGATCCACTTCCGTATTCTTCCCCTTTCATTTGTTATGTTCAGGATCTAATTGTTAGTGTGCTCATAGAAAGTAAAACTTCAATTTGCGGTAGCAATCTAATCTGTACCCAGTGAATGTAAGACAGATGCTACTTCGTTTAATCAATCAACAGACTGCTACCAGAAGCGAAATAAATAAAATAGGGTGTCAAAGAACCTACCAGTTATGTTCTTATCTCTTGGAACATCAACTAGTAGCGCAGGACCTATATTTATTCAAACAAGATTAACATCATCACCAAGACGATCAAAAATAAATAAATAACACTGATAAATAAAAAAGAAGGAAAAGGAAAAGGAAAAAAAAGGACAGTTAAGTGAGGCAGAGCTAAGAAAACTCTTTCACATGAAATTGCGGGTGGTTATGGCTTGATTAAGTTGTCACTACTTATATCATCACTTATTTTATTAGTTTTATAAACTTGAACTTATATAATAATCTGCTTATATCAAGAGTAAGCTTCAAAAGCAAAAACTCAATAAGTTGAACGAAGAACGCAAAATTTATTACCATTCAAGACATCCAAGTCAAGAGTATCAACATCATAACCAGCGTCAAAATAATTATCAAACACGTGGCCAGGAGCATCCACGTGTGTTCCGGAATGCGCCGTAATCTTCATCTCGGAGATGTTAACATCGGACCCGTTCTTCATGTTCACAGGCAGCCACAGAAACTGCCCCAGTTTCCCGTCTTTGGTGTCATACGACGGCAACTCGCTGGTGTAACGATGGCTTATGTCAAATATCCGGCCACCGCCATATACCTCTCGCCGAACCGGCTTCGGCACTTCGTTTGACGATAACGAGCACTCGGGAACTTTTGGGTATGCATCGCTCGTGGCGAAGGTGATTATGAGTTTGAATGAAAGTAAAGTGAAGAAGAAGAAGAAGAAGAGTTTGATGGTGGTTTTGGCCATTATTGGAGGTTGGTTTGTTGGTTTGTGAAGAGGATACTGCTAATTAATTTTCTTGTGAGAGATTAGTGGCACATAAGAATGAAGAAGGTAGTATATATTCTTTTCAAGTGAGAGAGAGAGTACTATGATAGTGATAGACTGATGATTCATAACCATAAGTTTTTAAAGTTAGCAGGACAGTGACAAAATTATTTAGAACACAGAAGAAGATGGATACTGAAATAAGTAAGGTGATAGTTTGATACTAATATGTCATTTACATCACATCTAAGTGGAGTAGTGGACAATTTTAAGATGTCATTTTGTGGAATTTAAGTGGATAAATTGGTAATTTAAAAAAAAAAAGCATTTTATATACATCCTATTATATAATTTAAGTGGATAAACTAGTAATTTAGTAAAAATTTTAAATTTTTATAATTTCATTGGATGAATTGCTAATATAGTTGTTGTGCGTGGTTTTTCTGCCAAGCTCGGGCCAACGCGAGGATATAACTCGACCTAGAACAACCTTAGTGACTATAATTGATTGACCCAGCATAAACTCGTTGAGCCGTAGCTCGACCGAGCATAAGCTCGTTGAGTTGTAGCTCGACTCAGCATAAGCTAGTCGCGAACAACCTGAATGATCATTCAATTGATTCCCAAATAACCTCAGATCCCAGATATTACAGGAATGACCAGATTAGCAGCAATCTTTACGCAATCATAGCGCCCAATCGCGAGAATATCGAAGTCGCAGTTCCAATCAATTGTAATCTCTTTATTTTCGCTCTTTCCTTTATGTAAATCTTGTATATATATATCTCCTAAAACGATGAGGAGGGGGATACAAAATCTAGATTAAAAACTGCATTGTAAGCTCTCACAGCATATAAACAAAACACAGTAGATGTAGGCCGTTAACTTCGCTGAACCACTTTAAAAGTTCTCTTTGTCACTTATTTTCGAGCATTATCATTCACCCATCGCTGATTACTCATAATCACGCACACATCAGTTCCGATCCTGACAAGGTCGATCGAATCTCGCTGGTTGGTGCAAATTTATGTATCAACATTTTGGTGCTAGAAGGAAGGCTTTCGCCACTATTTCAAAGATCCCAGCAAACGTTCACTGCAATTTACCTATCCTAAGACCAAAATGGTGTTCACCAGATCAAGAACTACCACCGTAAATCACGAGAACATGGAAGCTGCCCACCAGGAGGTGCAACAAGAGAACGCTGGACGTCAACCATTGGCGCGGCTCAGCACGCCGCGAACAATCAGAAAGCAAGGACATCAAATCCCAAGAACGGCCAGCTAATGGAGATGAATAGAACAATGGTTGCATAGGCGGTGCAACAGAACGTGGTTGTGTAACAGAACGTGGCTGAGCTGAGGAACCAACAACCAGTCATCCAAAACACCGACCAGCCGCGTTTCACAAATGTTACCCCAACAGGTATGAATTCTACAGGTCAACAATTCGTTTCGTCGCTGCTAAGGGGCGATCAACACTGCCAACCTCGCAGGAAACTACTCACGCATGAGCGAGAGTCTCGCGAGCAAACAAACCTCAGAAGGAGGCCGGGGAAACAATGGTTGAGGGAAAGTAAAGGCGACAGACACAATAGAGAAGCTCAGTTGTATCCCCAGCGTTAGCATACCGGTTTTAACCCACGCCCAAGGCGAGATCGCTCTTCGTAGGCTCACGAAGTGAGCCATGTGTGTTATTCTACCAATGACAGACGTTCTGGTTATGACTGACGTCGCAAACAACGCACTATGAGCATGATAACACCTACCAACCCAGCCATTATGACTCGACCTCGCGAATCCACGCACACATTGGAGAAGCTTCGCAAGCAACAGACTTGCGAACCCACTTGCTCAAGGTATAGCTTAACAAATCCAACCAAGGGAACCAAAATGAAGACCTAGATTGCATGCAAAAGATCCTCGACAATCTAAAAGCTCACCAAAATAACCTGACAGAAGAAATAGTAAGTTCCCCCTCTACGGAGGAAGTTCGCTAGGCCCCACTCCCACAAGGATTCAAGGCACCAAAAAGCAAGTTCAATAGGAAAGGGGACGCCAAAGATCACCTCGACAACTTTAATGACCTGATGGAGCTGCACCATGTCAATGACCTAGCGAAATGTCGGTGCTTCACAGTCACATTAGTCGGACATGCCAAGAGGTGGTACAAACGGCTCAAGGCGAACTCCATCAACTCTTGGTAATAATTCTCCACACTATATCTGTAACAGTTTCAGGTGAGGTGACAGTTCACAATGTTGCTTAACTACTTGAGCAACATTCGCCAAGAGCGCAATGAATCGCTAACCTCGTATTTGACGAGGTTTCCAAACGAGCAGGCAAAGGTCGTTGATGCCCCTGAAGAATCCATTCGGACTCTCCTAATCACAGGGATTAGGCCCAACACGGAGCTGCAGAAAGAGGTCCAAAGCGAAGACCATGTGAGCCGGGCCAAATTCTACCAAATGGCTGCAAAATTTGAACGAGTAGAAAGCTCGTTAGCGACATTAGCCAGAAGCTCGACACAAGGGGCCTCAGACAAGAGACAAGATCGCCCCTCGGATAAGTGTGGGGGCCAAGACTGCAGCGATAGGGATCGTAACAGATTCCCAAAGAAACAAAGAATAGATAACCACAGAAACAGACAGCCTTTCTGGCGATATGCAGAGTACACCCCCCTTACTCAAGACATCGTCCACATCTTTGAGGTATCCCAAGAGGTGAAAAGGTTGCCCGCTTTGGAAAAAATAAGGAGGGCTCCAAGAAGAAGAGATCGACAAAAACATTGCTGGTATCACAGGGATGTCGGGCACAATACAAATGATTTTTGGGCTCTAAAGGACGCCATCTAGGACCTCATAAGAAGAGGTTATTTGAAAGAATTTGTTAAGGCAGAACCACCTCGAGAGAATCCTAGCGAGCAAAATAACCTGGTCCCAAGCCAAATACGGACCTCGGATCAGTAGAATCTGCCAAACCCCAATGAGGTCTTTGTGAATATAATCTATGGAGGACTGGATACAGCAGGAAGCTCGAGGCAAGGCCGCAAGCAATACGCTCGGGAGGCTAGAATGAACTTGGTCCCTCGAGTAATGAGTTGCAAACAAAAGCCGCCCAAGCGGCCCAAACAAGAAAGCGAGGTAGTGGGGTTCACAGTCGATGAGTGCGAAACATCCCCTCGTCACAATCATGACGCAATTGTAATCGTAGCGAGGATTGGTAATGCTGTCAATAAACAGTCCCGTATACGCAGCGGAAACAAATAAAATAAAATACAAAGATCGTTTACATGAGCCAAGATCAAAGGTATAATTTTACAATTCATATTAAAGTAAGAATCTGCAGAAATTAATAATCTGTGTTTAGAAACCATACGCACGTTGGAGGCTCCTCCAAATTTGTCGACGAATGTTTTGCTACCGATCTAAGTGTATGATCGAACCTGCGTAGTCCACACGAAGACAATCTCAAAAAGAACTAAGGAAGGATTTGCTAGATCCTCCTTAGCCTTAAGAATCAAGAAGACAAATCAAATGAATTGATTTTGGGCAAAAATTGGATTCTGTCGTGGGACTGTAAAATGGGGCTGTGTGTTTTTGTTTTTCTAAGAAAAAATCTTAATAAAAAATCACACACTTTTCTTTTTATAATAAAAACATTTTGCCCTAATCCCATACGAAATAGGCTTGGGCTCCAACCCAAACGCCCCATGTTGCCAAACACTCCCAATTTGATTTATTTTATTTTCCATCATTATCTCAATTAAAATCAATTAATATATATTAACATTTAACAATAATGATAATATATTTAAATATGTGCGAACACACATTTAAACGTAATTTCACTTATTTAATTTTTCTAACAAATTAAATAAAGGCTACGACCTCAGCAAATTTAATTGCACTGTGAAATTACCAAAATACCCTTTCGCCTTAAAAGACGAAAACGCCCTTCTTTCTTCTTGCATCTTAAATTGTCTTCTATGTGTGTGACCCTTAGGCTCCTCATCATATCGGCAGTTTAGCTACGCGATTAACACCAATTAATCGTCTCACTAATACACAGACCAAGATTGGCCCTAGCAAGGTATCATGGCACCCGATAGATTCGAATTCAGCAAAGTACTACTTGTCACGATATGGTTACCGTGCAATTCGAACCTTTCATATACGTTATCTCGACGAGACGAAGGCATGAAATAGTGTCAACCTTCGGTTATCTTGATATTATTTATTAGTTTCTAGACCAATGACCCTATTATAAACTAATAGAGCAACAACTCAATCCCACTGTGGCCAAGTTTTAGTGTCATGCGCATATACTGAATTGCGCCGTGAGTAACTTTCTCCCATACCCGGGAGGGATGAATCCTCTGTCAATCCACCATAGTCTTGATACACTCCTTGATGCTGCTAATCACCACTGTATTGACAGCTCTGAAAAGAACTACGTTAGGCTAGTGTCAAACTACACCAATCGGTGCACAAGGTACTCCAGTGATCTCAAGCTAAGGATCACATGCACCACCATTCGTTAGAGGATTTGTTCATAGACACTAGGGTACCCTCCATATGGAATCCCGTGGGTCAGTCCAGTGAACTGCTACGGTGTAATCGTCTACAGCAAGCACCCATGTGTTGCACCAAGTTGTCACCCAAACAACCTTAACAAGTGAGATCAGTCACTGCCTTTCGACAGGGTTGTTCAACACATGATAGCCTTACCGTATTATCTGTGCCCTTACTTCAGAATAATACTAAGGTTACGGACGTTTCTAGAATGGCCACCATTGTGCTCATAAGGTTCTCACTATCAAGATTTGAAACACTTGATACCCTCGTCACGGTTTACCATTCTAAGGACATATATCAATACATATTGCAATAATAAGATTAAGCGATATAGAATAAAATATTTTATTGATTAATGAACATTATTACAAAGAGTCAATTTACAATAATTGATTGGCTCTTGGGCATCTACTCTAACAAATGCAAGAGTATTAAGGGTTATGGTTGACAACGGGAGCACGGCGCAATTATTTTTTGGGAGCCTTCCAGG